GGAAGGAAGGAAGGAAGGAAAGTTTTTTGTTTTTTGTTTTTTGGTACCAGAAATTGAACCCAGGGGTTCTTAACCACTGAGCCACATCCCCAGCCCATTTTTATTTTTTATTTAGAGACAGGGTCTTGTTAAGTTGCTGATACTGGCTTTGAACTTGTGATTCTCCTTCTTCAGCCTCCCCAGTCACTGGGATTACAGGCATGCATCACCATGCTGGCAAGAAGGATTTTTTAAAACTCTAAAAAATGGACTAGTGGTGTAACTCAATGGTAGAGCATTTGCCTAGAATATGTGAGGCCCTGGGTTCAATTTCCAGTAGTGAAAAGAGAAGAAAAAAGTTATGTAAAAGTTAGAATAATAGTTACCTTTTTAGGAGGTGGGAGAGATACTGATTGGGAGTGGGCTCAAACAGACTTCTGAGTTGCAGATATATGTTCACTTCTGGGTGGTGGTATATGCTGGTAGTAAGTTTTGTGACAAATTACTGGTTTGTATACTTATTTGTGTGCTTTCTTGTGCATAATATACAGAATATATTGTGTACAATGAAATTATATAAAACAATCTGGGTGGATGGGTTGAGAATTATGTAAACTGAGTGGTTACAAGACATTATTCAGGAAGCATCAAGGAGACGAAATATGGAAGAGAAGCTAGAAAACAGACACTGGAGGGAGAAGAGTAGCATGTATCTAATTAGAGTTTCAGAAGAAAAGGAGAAGACGGGGGAAGGAGTAATATTTAAAGAAATAATGGCGGCCAGGTGCAGTGGCACATGCCTGAAATCCCAGCTAGTCAGGAGGCTAAGGCAGAAGATCACAAGTTCAAGGCCAGCCTGGGCAACTTAGTAAGAACCCGTCTCAAAATAAAAAAATAAAAAGGACTGAGAATATAGCTCAGCCCTAGTTTCAAGCCTAGTACTTCCAAAAAAGAAAAAAAAAAAAAAAGAATGATAGAAAATTTTCCATAACTAATGAGAGATACTAAACCACAGATTTAAAAAGCTCACAAATACATAGCACCAAAAGTTAAAAGGAACCCATACCTAAATATATTATAATGTAACTGAACAATATCAAAGAAGAATTTTTTTTTTAAATGAGCTTTCAGCTAAGAATCACCACATATTTGAGAATTTTTTTTTTTAATATTTATTTTTCAGTTTTCGGCGGACACAACATCTTTGTTTGTATGTGGTGCTGAGGATCGAACCCGGGCCGCACGCATGCCAGGCGAGCGCGCTACCGCTTGAGCCACATCCCCAGCCCCGAAGAAAATCTTAAAAAGTCCTCAGAAGAGATTTTTATTGAGGGGTAGAGGTCATGCCAGAGTACTTGCCTAGCCAGATTTATTTTAAATGAGGGACACACTGACTGTTTTACTCCTATCTGAACAGAAATAATGGATACTAAAAGACTGTGTATAATAGAACCTTCGATATGCCAAGAGAAAAATACAATCAACCTAAGTTCAATGATAGCCATAAAACTAAGTTCCATGCTCAGATAAAATATTATTTTAGAATGAGATTAACATAATTTATCATATTAAGAGAATAAAACAGAAAAATCATAAAATCTCAACAGAGAAAAAGCATTAGACAAAATTCAACACCCTGCTGGGCACAGTAGCGCATACCTGTAATCCCAGTGGCACAGGAGGCTGAGGCAGAGGAATCACAAGTTCAAAGCCAGTCTAAGCAACTTAGCAAGGCCCTAAGCAACTTAGTGAGACCTTGTCTCTAAACAAAATATTTTAAAAGGGGTGGGGATGTCGCTCAGCAACCCTGGGTTCAATTCCTGATACAAAAAAAAAAATAGCCCTTCGAGATTAAAACTACAAGTGAGGACTGGGGTTGTGGCTCAGTGGTAGAGCGCTTGCGTAGCACCACATAAAAATGAATGAATAAAACAAAAATATTGTGTCCATGGACTGGGGTTGTGGCTTAGCGGTACAGTGCTTGCCTAGCACATGTAAGGCCCTGGGTTCAATCCTTAGCACCACATAAAAATAAATAAATAAAATAATGGTATTGTGTCCAACTACAACTAAAAAATAATATTACCCAAAAAATATATTGTGTCCATCTATAACTAAAAAGAAAAAAAAACTGCAATTAAACCAGGAATAGCAGGGAACTTCCTCAACCCAATAAAGGGCACCTATTAAAAAGCTACAGGTAATATCATAAGTGAAAGACTGAATGCTCTCCCTCAAAATTTGAAATAAGACATAGACATCTGCAACTAGCCAGTGCAATAAGGCAAGAAAAAGGGATTAAAGGCATGAGTTAGAAAAGAAGTAAATAGTGGGGAAAAATGGCATAAAAACAATACAGAAAAAAAAGAAAGTACAGAAGTACAGAACAAGAAAGATAAACAGTACAATAAAATAATACAATAATACACAGAGTATATTGTGTACAATGTAACAGTATATAAAACAATCTGGGGGGATGGGTTGAGAATTATGTAAACTGAGTGGTTATAAGACATTATTCAGGAAGCAAATAGAGTTCTATAATATCAATAACTTCACTACATTTAACACCTTTTTTTTTTTTTTTTTTTGGTATCAGGGATTGAACTCAGGGGCACTCGACTACTGACCAACATCCCCAGTCCTATTTTATATTTTACAGACAAGGTTTCACTCAGTTGCTTAGCACCTTGCTTTTGCCGAGGCTGCCTTTGAACTCATGATCCTCCTGCCTTGGGCTCCCTAGCCGCTGGGATTAAAGATGTGCACCACAGTGCCTGGCTTAGCATCTTTTTTTTTTTTTATAGTGTCAGAGTTTAAACCCAGGACCTCACACCTGCTAAGCATACATTCTATCACTGAGCTACACCTCCAGCCAATACATTACACTTAAATGGAATAAATGTTCCTGCTTTTTTATTTATTTTTTTTTTTAATTATCATAGGCCAGGTGCCCATACTTGTAGTCCCCAGCTACTCAGGAGGCTGTGACAGGAGAGTTAGTTGAGTTCAGGAGTTCGAAGCCTGCCTGGGCAACATAGTGAGACAGACAAAGGAAGGAGGTGGGGGGCAGGGTGAGGGAAGGAAGGGAAGAAATAAAACAACAACAACAACAAAAATTTTTAAAATTAAGGTATTTGTGAAATACAAAGATACCCAAAAACTGAAAGTAAAAGGGTAGAATATGATCTATCTATCGGGAACCCTCAATCTTGGCTGAGAAGTATGCAGCCACTCCCAAGAGCACTGGGAAGTCCTTAGTAATTCAGTGACATCCCTCTGATCCAGCAATTGTACTCCAGTAGATATTTTCAGGTAATTCTTATAGGCTCCATAAAAAGAGGAAAGGAGGAACTATATAAGGATACCTACCACAGCCATCTATGATGGCAACACTTTTGGACTCACACCATGGAGAATCACACAGTTGGTGGGCACAGGCCAGATGTGCACACAGAAACATACAAACACTACACAGAATGCAAAAAGTAAGGGAGTTCATTGTAATCCTACATATGTGCCCACAACATAATATAGACTTGGCAAGAACACAATTAAAAGGATATAACTAGGGCTGGGGCTATAGCTCAGTGGCAGAATGCTACACGTGTGAGGCACTGGGTTTGATCCTCAGCACCACATAAAAATAAATAAATAAAGATATTGTGTCCACCTATAACTAATTTTATATATATATATATATATATTTTTTTTTTTTTTTTTTTTAAAGGATATACCTTAAGCTCAGCAGACTGGTTGCCTATGGAGTAGGAGAGGAATAGAATGGTCAGAAAGATTTAAGTAAATATATAAGATGGGGGGGGGCAGAAAGGGGCTAGTCTTGCCCAAACCAGTGATGAGCACCTGACATAAGCTGAGGAGTATGACCACTTCAACTCTCTACATCTGTGGTCAAACATGAAAAAAACACAGAATATGGCAAAGGGAGATATACCTTGGTATAAGGCCATGACAAAATCTACACCCCAGATACAGGGTAAATATGGGTCATGCTGGGAGGACATAACACTCATACCCTGTGCCCTGCACAAAGCACACACACAACCAGGTGCATGCACACACTATGGGTACACTTACACCCAGATGTAGGAGGCCGACTAGCTGGTGACTGTGTCTGTCTCCCCTGCTGACAGGTGTGGCATTGTGGCATTGTCAGAGGTCACTCTGAGATCTGGTTGCCTGGGTAACGGAGACGATTGCCCCCATCTTTTAGGGTGCGAGTGACTGTGTCTTCGTGCATGGGCATGCCTTCCTACATCCCCAAGGGTGGAGCTATGCTCACCTATTCCTTTATAATATTACCCCTTGCCCTGTTTTGAATAGAATGTTCCATGGAAACGCCTTTTGTGTGTCCCTTTCTCTTACTCTGTCCTTGGGTGTGTCCTACCTAGATGTCAGTCAACCTGCTGACAGCAGACATCATTAAGTAGACTCAGCCCCCTGAAACCTGACCCCTTGCCTCATTTGAATGGCTTCTCCTTAGTAAAAGGGGTAAGCATGTGCTCGCTCACTCTCTCTCTCTCTCTTTCTGCGGACCCTTAAGGTCAGAGGAGCTGTCACAGCACCCCCAAAGAAAAAGATATTTCTGTCTCTTGTGTGATTATTTCACGCAGCCCAATTCCCCTGGAGTGACCCCTGATGCAACCTGGCACCCAGATGCCCACCCTAAGGGCATGTTGATACAGGTACACACCCAGCGTGAGCCACAGGGACAGAGCCAGCTGAGGTCACTGACCCATGCCTAAGAAACCTGCTCTGCCCAAGACTGGGCAAACCAGTGCCCTTGAGGATGGGGGAGCAGAGCAAAGGACAAATTGTGTAGGTCTAGTGAATCAAGCCCAGAGGAGGGGGTCCAATGCCCAGTCATCATCTTATGAGGGTGGACAGGCCTAAGGAGCAGTACTCTCCTGCGGCAATGAGGCTCTAATCATCCACCAGTGTACCAACCTGGTCTCAGGTACAGCACACATTTCTTCATTCCACTCGAATTTCTTCAGCACATCAGAACAGCAGTATTGGTCAAAACAGGAACCACAGCAGAAATCAGGACAGGACTCAGGGAATAGGTTGCTTCCAGGAGCAGCCATGCACACCTCGCCGTGGGCTAGAAGACACAGGCACACCTGTTCCCTCTGACCCACAGGCACAGAGACTTCCCCAGCACAGCCACCAAGCACAAGCATGCTCTGGACCATACTTGTCAGTGGCCAATTGTCCAGCCTTGCCCTCTATCCTGGGCCTCAGCAGAAGTGCCCTAACTGATCTCACTCTCTCCCCCTGCCAATCTGCTGGCCTTCTGATGAAGAGTGACATTTTCAAGTTTGAGTCTGACTGGGCTTCTCCCCACTCTCAGACCTCCCCTGGTTTCCACTGCTTCAAGATCAGGCTGAGTCCTCAAAGCAGGATGAAGACTGCAAAGGGCCTTGAAAAATCACTCCAACTTTCCAGGTTAGCCACACTGCCTGTTTCTCATCTCCCACCTTCAACTCTACTCATCCTTCCAGACCTTACTCCAAGCCACCTCCTCCAGAAGCTGCCAAGACCAGCAGGTACGCAGTTTAATGGTAATACTCCTGACCACCTGCAGAGACCAGACACTGGACTATTCAGTTTATAATCCTCACTTTCTCTCCAAATCACTCAGCCACAGCAGCTTAATTTACTGAATACCACATCTGCAAGGGCCTGACCTTCACAAGCCCCCAAATGCCTGCAGGCTGACTCCTGACCAATTCAGTCAGCCAGTCACACCCATCACAAATATCCATAAAAGCAGGTGCCTAGGAAATATCTGTGTTCTCAGTGACAGTATATGAAGTCCTGGAGCTCTCTCAAGGACTGTCAGACACAGAGGTGGAACCTAGTGACAATCTTGCAAACTTCAATATACAATATCATGCTGAGAAAACCAATGACCCAGGCCTCTGAGGTTTGCAAACCTTCAGGAAGATGCTACAGTCAGATGTTCTCGTGTTTCCTTAGGCTACCTTAACATAGACTTAGACCCCATAAGCCAGAGGAATAGTACTAGATTCTGCCAAGGCAGATCCCTAATGGAACACCCAGTTCAGAAAGGCCCATATGACTACAGTAGGCTGAGGACAAGTCTGATGATAATCCCTGAAGTAAGCCTGGAAACAATCCTGGCACAGCACGTGGGCCTCAGACTTCACAATCCTAAACTGGCCAAGCCCCCAGGCAGTGTCTCGAAACCCAGAGTAGTTGGTGTATCATGCACCCTGAGGCTATGAAGAGGGCAGCCTAAAGACAGAGACACTGAGTGACTCCTTGAGAAACAAAGTGCCATGGGGCTGCACTTTGTTCTTGGCAATTCCAGGAAAAACCCTTCTCTGGGCAAAGCTATAGAGCAGAGGTTAGGACCACTGACAGGCCCAGCTCAGCTAGGTGGCCACCTGAAAACAGGTATTCTTAGCATGGCCCAGCTGTGGCAGCTAAGTTGAATCCACCTTTACTTGGGCCTTTACAGCAAGAGCTACAGGCCAGGTCAGGCTGAAGACACATACTGGTGAGTCTTTCAGGCCCAGGCCACGATACAAATGCTCTTCTGACAATCACTCTGCTCAAGGCTCCCCAGACATGGGGCCTGGGACCCTCCCACAGGCTCATGCTCACTCTAGGGGTTACTCATTCTAAGTACAGAACTCCCCCTTCTCATTTCTCCACCCCAGGTCCTCCAGTTTTGTCTTAGCCCTCAGGAAACAAAGCCTTTCTCCTCCAGAAAATCACCAGCCCCAAAGTGTCTTTGGCTCTTCAAGGATGGGCAGAAGACTGTTTTAAATTCCCATCCCTAAAAGGCCCCTAGCCTGCCCTCTCCAGTCTGAGTCATCAGTCTACAATCACATACAAGGTGGTGGTGTCTCTTCCAGCGCCTGCAGGAACACAAGGGCCAAGGAGGCGAGAGGGGCGTGGAGAAGAGGGTAGCCGAGGGGAGGGGAGACGGGGTAGGGGGGGTCCCCAATCATGAAACAGAGGCTGAGAGGGACAGCCTCTGAGGGAGGGGCCCCGCCTCCTTGCTGCTATGCCTGGTCAATGCCAGGCAAGGGAATCCTACTCCAGCCTCTGGGGACCCAATCCCCTAGAACATCAGAGGAAGGCTGAACCCTCGTCACCATGCCAGGACAGAACAAAGGTGGCAGTTGCCTGGGGTCTAGGCAGTATCAATTCAGGCGAGGTGGAGTGCTGGAGTGGAGAAGAGGTCCGTCGTAAAGTTGGCGCACCGCCTCGCGGGTATTAGGATTAGGCGGGGAGCACTGTGAGGCTGGTGCTGCCTGGCTTGTCCTAGGAGCAGCACAGGGAAGTGAGTGACCCTGTCCCTAGGCAGGACACACCGCCCCTCCCCCCAGGCTCACCACCCGGAGGCGGCGATAACAGCAGCAGCAGCAACAGCAACAGGGTCGGTCGTGCCGAGACCGGCGCAGCCATGGTTGGACGGACAGACGGACTAATGGACAGACGGAAGCACAGGGTTGTGGGGCTGCCAGAGTCTCAGCGACCAGCGCGGCGGCCCGCTTTCTTGCCCCGCCTCGGCCGGTTCCCGGAACCCCCGCCCGGTAGAGGAGGAGGGGTGCGGAGGGAGGGGAAGCGGACGCCCCTCCCAGCCTTGGGGCCAGCTACACGCCGGGTGTCTGCGCGGAAAACTTGGGACGCGTTTCCGGCACGCATGCCGTAGCACCCAAGTTGCCTTCTGCTCACCGGATACTTTATAGGGGAGACCCCCAGTCCCCAGCCCTCGGGGCTTGGAGAGGGTCCCAGTGGGAATCTGCAAACTAACACTTGAGCGCCTACTGTATGCCTCTGGAAGGCCGTGCCTAGCCCCTCCCTCCCTGCGCCACGGTTTCCTCTTTTGCTTTGAGGATCTTTTCTTTGAGAGGTGCTTAAAGTCCAGGTGAAGGGATAGGAAAAGGGTTCAGCGAAGACCTTAGCACAGTAGACGCCCAACAAATGCCAGTTCCCTTCTGAAAGACTTTGTGTAGGACCCCGGCTCTGAAGGCAATCTGGAACCCCACGCCCTGGGATGACACTTCCATCCCCCTGGTGATCCAGGCTCTCAGACCAGGCATGCTCCCCTGGCTCAGGAGCCTGGACTGTGGGTAGGAACTGGCAGCTCCCAGGGCCATCTTTTGGCACAGGGCTGACAGCTGTTCCTGCCCCCTCAGTGTGGAGCACAAAGGTCCTGGCAGAGTAAGGAAAGGAAGCATTCTTCTTTTTATGCCCAGGACTTCTGACCTGTCCCCACCCTGTGTCTGTCACAGCCAGTCATTATACTCAAGGCAGAAGGCATGAAACATACACCAACAGAGACCTGAGCCAATGTGTACTCTCTGTGTGCCACCTATCTTATCTGGAGGTAGGGGCATTGCTGTGAACAAAGATGGGATCTGAAGGGACAACTTGGGATGGCTCCAGCACAGTTTCCCAGGCTTGGGAGTTAGAATAGGGAGAGGAAGTCCTGTGTTTCCAACAAATCCCCAATACCACCTGGCTGAGAAGGGCTTGGCACACATGTTGGGGGCAGGGATATGACTGTCTCCAGGCAAGATCCCTCTCTGAGGGGCTTAATGAGAAATCTGAACCACATCCTTCCTGACACAGCCTCATCCTACCTCTGCCTTCTGAGTTTTACTCTCCAAAGCTGAATGAAGCCCAGATTCCCCTTCCCCTAAAGTATGACCACCTGTTCCCCTCCACATTCACCTTTTCCCACCATCCTCCTTGATCCCTGTTCTATGCCCCAGATATGCCTCCCCAGAGATTATTTCTGTCTTCCCAGGGATTGCTTGTTCCGTTCTGCCCTATCCACAAACTTGGTTTTCAGCCAAGCTCCTAGGTCCATTCTCACTTCCCATCACCTACCTTTGGTGTCTCTGAGCTACTGTCCACTCCCAGATCCTCCAGGGGCCTCTCACCTGGCCTTACCCTCCTGACGTTGTCAGTATTAGGATCCCCCATACTCCCTCATCTGCTCACAGCTCACAGACAGCCCATGTGAGACCTTCATGGTTACCCATTGCTTTAGGACTCAGTCAGGACTGTGCTTGGAAAGGACATGGTGGAGGCCAAGAGTACCACAGAGGCTTAGAAATTGCAACAATATCCCTGACAGGCATGTGCCCACATGTGTGGGCATTAGGTAGGTCAGGTATACAAGTCATATCCACTAGTGGTCTGGGGAAAGTGGCCCCTCCAAGGCAGAAATCAAACATGTTGTGCCAAATGTGGGTTGTCAAAAGATTGCAGAGACACAAATCTATGCAAGGACACATAATGTGAGAACCCAGACCAGCTAGACCAGCTTAGCATAAAAATGCCAGCCATAGTAACAAGGCGGAAGGACTGGGGGCAGCCAGGAACCAGTGCAGTGAGGTCTGTACCCCATAAACAGCCTTTCTTATGAGGCCTCTCCCCAGTACCCCTTTCATTCCAACAGGTGTCTAGTCCCTGGTTTGTTTGTTGTTTGTTTGTTTGGGTACTGGAGATTGATCCCAAGAGTGCTTAACCACTGAACCATATCCCCAACCCTTTTTAAAAAATATTTTTATTTTAGATGGACACCTTTATTTTATTTTTATGTGGTGCTGAGCTAAACTTCAGACACATCAGTCCTTTTGATTTTGAGACAGAGTCTTGCTGAGTTGCTTAGGGCCTTGCTAATTTTCTGAGGCTGGCTTTGAACTTGTAATCCTCCTGCCTCAGCCTCCAGAGTTTGCTGAGATTACAGGCGTGAGCCACCATGCCTTGCCCTGTCCCTGGTTCTTATTGGGCTAAGTCAATAGAAGGTAGTGAAGGTAGAAGTTATCCAAGGTAGCAGCAAGAGGTGGAAGGGTAGAAAGAGAGTGCATTTATAGAGCTATTTGTTCTTTGCTCCATCTCTTGTGGGTTGTCACACACCACCACTAACCCTTATCCCCAGACCCTGATCTCCACCCACCAAAATTATAGGAGTCGAAACTGGAGGTACAAGGTAGACATGGAAGGTTGGACATGGGGAGGGGGTCCCACCATATTTCAGTCACTCTTCCTGCCTTGCCCCTACAGGCCTAAGAATGGAGAGGGCCCTCCTTGATGCCAGACCCAGGCATAGGTGGTTCCCCAACCGATTTGCAGCTCTAGAAACAGCAGTTTTAGTAAACTCTCCTCCAATACCCAGCTTGATAAGAACAACTGTCCCCAGCGCAGGCGGTGGAATTGGGGTCCCTCTTCGTGGAGTAGGCTGGCTGCAGAATAAAAACTAAAAGAAGAAAACAGCGAGGAAAAAAAAAAAAACACAGTACATGGGAAGTAATTTTGAAAAGCAGGGGCAGGACGGGTCTTCAATCTTAGGGATTGAGCTTCCACACTGGAGAGAGAAAGAGCTGGAGCCCATGCTTGCTTTATTTATATGGGGGGAACATCAAAGGTTTTTGATGGAATGCCTTTTTGCCAAATAAGGTAGGGGGTGGGCTGTCCAGTTCCCAGTGGGTTACGCCCAACTCTAGAGCTATGAGAGTTGTCTCACTAGTAGAGGGAAGACAGACATCTCACTCCTTGAATGGTCTGATACACACAGGGAAGCTGGGAGAGTTCCCAAGGAAAAACCTAAGTCTTCATGGCTCGGTACCAAGTAAAGAACCCTCATGTAGCTCATGGGTGTTTTCCCACACAACCGTTTCATGCTGGGACCTTGGTTACAGTTTGTAAATGGGAATTCTCTTGGGGCTTGCAGGTCAAAACAACTCCCAATTATGTTCAGAAAGCACAGTTGTCTTATAAGGTGGGAGTAACCAGATATGGACGCCACCTATCCATATCTGGTCCCAAGACTGGTCCTCAGGGCCAGGAATGATGCCTGCTAAAGCAGAGCACTAAAGGGTCCTTGCAATTCCTCTTACCAAGTACCTGGGCCCCTTTCTTCCACTTCAGACAATGGACATGCCAAACTCTCACTCTCCCAGCTTCCTTTGCCCAAGGCAAGAGCTTTTGCCCTAATCCCAGTCAATCAGACATACTCTCTCTGTAGTCTGATGGGGATGCTGGTGACCAACAGTAAGACAATAGATTCTGCTTTAGTGGTGTTATCAGAATCCATGTTAAGAGGCCTGACTCTGGAGTTCCAACAGACCATCAGCTGCCTTGAGAGTCTGATCAGAGAGAAAAAGATGGTTGAAGCAAGAATTTATTTGGTATGGCCATCTTGGAAGGAACAGGAGGACTAGCATCCTAAACCCAATCTTCAGGATACTGACACTAGCTCCAGGATTATATAGGAGAAGAACGAGGGCAGGGGGCAGGAGTAGTCAAGCAGTCTTGGTCAAACTGTGGTCTAGTTGATCTTCAAGCAGGTCCAGTTTTGCAAGGTCCTGATGGCACCCATGAAATCATTATTGCTTGAGGCAGCAATTGAGTTCCCATCATGAAGTGATCTGCCTGCAAAACTTATTGTTCTTGGAACCTGAGATACACTGAGGAGAAATGACTTAGAGACTAAGAAGAGGTTAGAGGAGGAAAATGGAGTCAGTCAGGACAATGACTGGGTCCTCCTTTAAATCCCCAATTAAAGGAGCCCTTGCTACAGGGGGGAACCACAGCAGTCATGGCAACAGCACACAATTCTGGGCCTATAGTGAAGGCTTAGTTACAAAGGTCCCTGCATGCCCCTGGTGGTGACAGCAGTGACATGCTCACCAGGCTAATCCAGAACTGTGATTTGGGCTGGAGATAATGTTGTATGGCCTCAGAACCTTGCTCTCTGATCCCCTTGGTGACTTTCAGAGATATACAAATTCCTTTTCATGAGTCTATTGGGCAGAGGTAGTTTCCTCCAGTTGATAAAAAGTTCTAACCAAGAATGGTAGCAGGTGCCAGGAAAATGGGGGTGTCCAGACTGATAATCTGCCAGGTGGAAGCTAAAGATGGTGGAAATGCAGCCAGGTTAGAGAGTCAGGCTCTGGCAACACATGCATGCAGAGAAAATGGGGCTAGTAAAGCCACCACTACTGGTGTATATAATGAAAAAGTATCTGGCCTTAGTTTAATCACTGGGGTGTCCAGTTGGGGTCCATGTCCTTGGTGTCCCGAACAAAGAATTGAGCAAGACACACAGAAGTAACAGGCAAAGTACAGATTTATTGAAGATGAAGGTGGAAGTGGCACTCCATAATGTAGAGCAAAGTGAGCCAAGCAAGAGAGGGTCAAGGTCCCGAGGTCTGTTTTTATATGCTGGACTGTGAGGCAATCTCTTCCCTATATGGACCAGATTGAAGAACTTACTCCAGTTGAGCCTTGGTTACCTTATAATACCTGACTAGAAGGGTGTCCAATTTTCCCCCATTGGTTACTTTAGAAAACCTAATTAGAATACTGCCTACTGTACCCGCATTGGTTATTTTAGAATTCCGATCCTGTGGCAGGAGTATTATGGGCAGGAGTAGTCATGGTAAACAGGGACACGATCACTCATCTCCCTGTCTTGTCTTCCAGTGGCATTTTTCTTATACCCTGCCTCTGACATCTTGGTTTTCCTGAACTCCTACCTAACATTAGTTCCCAGCTTCCGGCTCCTACAGCC